TCTCCTAAATGCCCATACCTTAAGAAATAAGATAGAAAGTGGGACCTCATCAAACTAACGAGCTTCTGCAAAGCAAAAGAAAACATCAAGAGAGCAGGGAGAAAGCCCACAGAATGGGAAAATCTATTTGCCAACTGTATATCTGACAAAGGCCTAACATCTAGAGTCTACAAGGAACTCTGACGTGCCAAAAGGACAAAAAAAAGCCCTATTAAAAAGTGGGTAAAAGACATGAATAGATACTTCTCAAAAGAGGATATACAGGCAGCCAACAGGTAGGTGAAAGAGTGCTCAGCCTCACTCATCATCAGAGAAGTGTGAATCATAACCACATTGAGATACCACCTAACCCAGTAAGAATGGTCATCATTAATAAATGAACAGCAGCAGATGCTGGCGAGGACCCAGAGAAAAAGGAAATCCTCTACACTGTTGGTGGGAATGCAAACTAGTGCAACTTCTTTGGAAGACAGTGTGGTAATTTCTGAAAGAATTGGAAATTGACTTTCCATGTGACCCAGCAATTCCCCTATTGGGAATATACCCGGAGGAACTCAAATCATCCTACAAAAAAGATACCTGCACACGTATGTTTATTGCAGCTGTGTTCACAATAGCAAAAACATGGAACCAATCATATTGCCCATCGAAGCTGGACCGGATAAAAAAAATGTGGGACATATGCACAATGGAATATTATGCAGCCATAAAGAAGGGCAAACATATGGACTTTGCAACAACTTGGATGGATTTAGAGTCGATCATACTTAGTGATCTATCACAGAAACAAAGAACAGAGTACCATATGTTCTCACCCATATGCGGACCTTGAGCAATTATAATACTATAAGAAAGGAATTGAAAGTAATGGGAAACTGTGAGGGGAGGGGAGATGGGATTAGCAATTGAGGGAAACCGCTAAGGGAGGGAGGAGCATCCCTCATCCACAAGGGTCCCTGCATAATCAACGTTTGTACCTAACACTGAATTGTACCCCATATCCTTATATTTTTAAAAAAAAATAAATAAGTGTTTCTTTGAAAATGTGAGATGACTCAGCAAGAAAACTGTTAGGATCTTTTTCTTTCCGGTTATGTTGAATAACTTTTACCTTTACCATTTTCATTCTTTGTTATTTTTTAAATGTTCGTATTATTTAACTGAAGATTTATATTGTTTTAAAACATCAGTTTCTTCATGTCATGGGTGACACATTAATTTCTGCTTGGTTTAGGACTAAAAATTGTGTTACGCTGAAACAGATTGAAATATCAAATTTTCTCTTTAGTAGCAAATAAGATAACATGGCATTGGAATAGGGATTTTTATGGAATTGTGAAAGAACCTCACTGGAAAACCTTTGGGTTTTCTGTAACTTTCGTTAATCTGTAACTTTCTCTCTTCTTATACAAATGCGCTTTTCTTATACAAATAAAAGACATAAGCCATGATTTTCTTACTTTATTCAAACTGTATGAGAAGTTAAATCCTAATGAATTACTGCTAGCTCTTTTAAATTATGTTTTAGTTAGTGTTTTCCAAACAGCAATGTAGTATCCACCTTTGAAGAGTTCTCTGATAGTACAGGGGATTGTGCAAAAGATGACCCAACGGCTACTTATAGAATATTAGAGTTTAGCAGCATGTGTGATCTAAGGAAGATGTTGAGATAACATCTAAGACATGAAGAGCAAGTAAAAACAAGGAAGGGGAAGTGAAGATTTCACATGAAAGTATTCCACTTTAAATTACCTGATCAAGGTAGTTTGGAGTCTTAGGAAACTACAAGGTTTTCAGTGGGAATACATTCTAAGTGAGGCTGCATGGTGGGCTGGATGAGGTTGTGGGGTGGTGGGAAGGGGCTAGTTCCTCTTAGGTGTTGTTGAGAGACAAAGCATAAAATGACAAATAGAGCCGAAAATTTACTTTGAAATTTTGGGTATACCAGAAAGAAATTCCAACATGGGGTACGAATAGATGAAGGACTGTGTACTTGCCTCAGTGCACAAACTAGGCATTTGGGGCACATTATCCAAGTCATTTCTGGGAAATATGAGTGACACTCCCTTGATGAGATACCAAGAAGCCACTGAAATGTCACTTTTGTTGTGCACTGGGAGAGACGGAGTTTGTTCCATTAATACAGCATTTGAATTGAGTTACTTTGAGTGTATTTTGTCAGAATGTAAGGGACAGCTTAGTTTTTGGTGTTGAAGAAGAGAATAAAATGGGTGGCTTTGAAGCAAAGGCACCTGGGAGGGACATTTTTTGTCCTTGACACAAAACAGGAACTTAGAGTTGCCTCCAGCTGAGAAGACAACCCCACACTCAAATTTAATAACACATGCTCCAATGAGGAAAAACTACTCAGTTTTATTGGTTTGGCAGCATTTTGGCTAATGTGGATTTCTATGTCATTTGGAGTACTCTCTAATATATTCTGGATATAAAATTCTGTGAGGGAAAATAGTTATCATGGGTCCAAATAATCTTAGTAATAACTACTATTTGAGACCTAACCTTTGCCTATCTGTATGCCAGATGGTTTACATACACTACATAGATGCCTAAGTCCTACATGATATGGTTTATCAGATTGATTCTGCAGATAAAGACCTTCCAATTTTCTCAAGCACACAGGGCTGGTTAGTGATAGAACTGGACTAGATCCTGACTCTGAATTTCTCTAGAGTTCACACTGTTCCATTCTTCCCAGCCCAAGGCAGGTCAGGCCTTGTGTTATTTATTTTCTACTCACTACTTCCAAATGTATTTCAGGTGATACAAAGTAAGGCTCTGTGCTCAAAATACCATTTTGGAATTCATAACCCAAAGAAAAAACAGTAAAAATACCAAAATCTATGAGAGATGTGAATAAGGAAAGAAAGGAGTATCTGGTGGTAATATTATCTGTACAGTGTCAAAAACCTCAAAAGATTAGGGGTCCACAAAATCATCTGGTTTGGTCTCTTCTCTGTAGACAGTAGATATGTTTGAACAAAAGTTATATAAGAGGCTAAGTCTGCCAAATGAAGAGATAGCAAAAGTCAGAAATTTTATTCTGTGGAAACACACATCCTGAGCTTTCTACTTTGTGCTTCAGCTTTCACATCTCACATTCCTATCAGGACACAGCCTATGCTCTGCAAAGTTTGCAGAGGGGAAACTAACCAAGAGTTTGGAGTGATGTGGAATTTTCCCAGAAGCCTCTCATGGGAGGTTTGGGAACCAAAAGGAAAGTGTGATAACTGAAGAGAAAAACACCCCATATTAAGTAGGGTCCCAAAGAGACAATTCAGTGTCTGCTTTGGGGTCTGCAGGCTGAAGCAGGGATGTCATGCTGATTATCCCCTGACTTGTTGTTCATGGGTCTCGGGAACATGAGGGCCTTGGTTTACATGGGTGTTCAGAAGTTGAAAGAGGAAACTTAGGGCCTACAAGTAGTCAAAGTGATGACCCTGAGTGAGGACAGTGGGCACACCCTTATCCTGAACAGAGAGAGCCTGAATCTAGATGTTATGGAGGGAAGAGACAGGGGTAGCCTCATGTGGCATTTTTTGACTTTCCTTTTGGGGCATCAGGGAATGAGAAACTGAGTCTAAGCCTTTCAGACCTAGGACAGGAGGTGGAGGAGTTTTATTCACTCCTGGAATCAAAGGCAGAACCATGAATGACTGAGAGGATCACAAAATCCCAGAACAATGAGGGGACACAGTGTCTTTTCCTGCCATTAACTCTGGAAGGCCTTGGTCGGGGCTACCCAGCTGACTTCTGCAAGAAGTGGCTCAGAGATGTGAGGGCTTGGTCTGAGATGTGTGTTCTCAAGTCGCCATAGAAAGGAGTGCCAGGATCTGCCAGGAGTCAAGGTGTGGGTCCTGAGTGAGGACATAAAAATCCTTCCACCCTCATAACTGAGAGGACTACACAGAGTCCTGTTCTTACTGGCAGCCCCCGGATACCAGGCATTGTTGACATGATGTGACATACTTCCTCCTCTGATGTCACAAGGTCATGAGGAACTTGATCTAAGGGTTATGACCTGGGTCAGCAGTGGGAGGATGTACAGTTTTCTCCAGAGGACACAGTGATTACCCTTAGGATCAAAGAAACCACACACCCCTAACAGTAGAAGCATCACAGAATTCATTCCTTACTGTCACCTTTGAGAGATCACAGACAGGTAAGTCAGATGAGAAGACTCTCACATCCCCTTAAGGTGAGTTCCAGGGTAGTTTTGTCCTTAGTATCCTAAGTTGAGAGATCAGGCCTCAGGCCAAGGAAGTTAGTGGCCATGCCAGGGGTCAAAGCAAGTAATGGAGAACAGCAGATGCCTAGATAGAAGGGGTAAAAAGAATCTGGTTCCACCCTCTTTTCAGCCCTTGAAGACCCAAGGCTGGGCTGCCAAGCTGAAGCTCTCCACTACTTCCTTAGGTCAGGTCTATGGGAGATGAGATTCATAGTCTGAAGGTGCAAACACCATTCCAATAAAGGGATTAGGGTTCCCATATCCCTATGTAATGTCCCTGGGTGAGGACCCCAAAGATGTCAGTACAGAAAATTATCCTCTGATCAGTCAGCATTACCTTCACTTTGTTCTTGTGGGTCCCACAGAGGTTAGAGAGGTCAACTTCAGAGTAGCAGAGTAAATGGTGTCCATGGCCTGTCACCAGTTGAAATGATGGTCAAGAGTGTGAAATAAAAGGACTGTTCAACCCAGAAAACTGGTAGCCCCTGTGTTACCCTAGAATGCCTGAGACAGTGTTGGCAGTCTTCAGTCTAAGGCTCAATCTAGCTCCTTCACAGGTTTCTCAGAGGACAGCTAATCAGGAGTCCAGTGGGTTCCTAGAGCAGTCCTCTCACAGAAAATGTAGTCTTTCTTATACTAACACTGGAATGTCCATGCTGAAGGTGCATACACCCTTTCAGTCGCTACTCCTTTAGAGTCTCATTGCCTATTCTTCTACCTACACTCCTGCTTTCTATGTTTAACCAGAGTCATCATGCCTCGGGGTCATAAGCATAAGCACCGCATCCGTCAAAAACGTCCCCAGGCCAAAGATGACACCCAAGATTACAGGGAAACTCAAGGCAGTGCAGCAGTGAAAGAAGAGCCCCTGTTCTCTCCATCTCCTGTTCTTGAGGATATTTCCCAGAGTTCACCTGCGGAAAGGTCAAGTATCACTTCCCAGGAGCCTTGGAGAGTACCACCCATTACTTCCTCAGGCATATTTAACACAAGACAGGAAAAAAGTAATAACAGCCAAGATGAGAATTATCCATGTTCCTCGAAGATCTCACCCTCTACTGAGAGCTCATGCAGCAATTCCTTCACTCTGACGGTGAATTCATTGCAGCAGTTCATACTCTACAAGTGTAAAATGAAACAACTCATTACAAAGGAAGACATGCTGAACTTTGTAACCCCAGCATACCAAGACCAGTTTCCTGAGATCTTCAGAAGAGCTTCGGAGCGCATTGAAGTTGACTTTGCAGTTGATGTGAAAGAAGTCGACTCGGTCCGTCACTCCTATGACCTTGTCAGCAAGCTGAAACTCCCCAACAAGGGGAGGGTTCGTGCTGGCAGAGGGTTGCCCAAGACCGGCCTCCTGATGATTCTCCTGGGTGTGATCTTCATAAAAGGAAACTCTACCACTGAGGAAGCGCTTTGGAAATTTCTGAATATGATGGGAGTCCGTGCTGGAAGGAAGCACTACATCTTTGGAGAGCCCAGGAAGCTCATCACTCAAGATTTTGTGAGGCTTAAGTACCTGGACTACCGCCGGGAGCCCAACAGTGATCCTGCATGCTACATCTTTTTGTGGGGTCCAACAGCTTACGCTGAAACCAGCAAAATGAAAGTGCTGGAATATTGGGCCAAGATCAATCAAACTGTTCCTAGTGCCTTCTCTAAGCAGTATGAAGAAGCTTTGCAAGATGAGGAAGAGAGAGCCCGGGCCAGAGTTGCAGCCAGGCCTGGCACTACTGCTAAGGCCAAGCCTGTCTCAAGGTCACATTCAGTATTCTCCCATCATTAGTGAAGACTGAAGCTTTTAAAAATCCACACAAGAAAGTATGACATCTTAAGTAGGGCTTTTTGGAGATGTAAAAGAATAGTAAAATAGTTGGGAATATGGAAGAGAAGAAAAATAAAACATGATCAGTCTTGCTTTTCCTCATGCTTTTCAGTCTTTTGTTTTGTAAAACTAAATGATATATACCTCGATGTTTAGCTTATTAAAAAGGGAGAATAAATTAAATCTTAATGAGTTCGATCTCTTTCTCATTGTCTCTCTTATTCCCCAAACATCAACTGAGTATCTGCTTTTTTTGGAGGCTCTGTGCTAACCCTGGATAAGTTCAAATAAAGTCCTAGCTTCTGTCCATACAATGTTCCAAGCTAGGAACTGCAATCATATAAGGAAAATGTTGAGACACTATCTATGACTCATAAGAAAGTAGAAAGAATGGGTGAGCAGGTTGAGTTCAAGGGGACAGCAGTAAAGTATAAAATTCCCTCAGGTGAGGCAGTTTGAGTTTCAGAAACTGCAAGTCAAACAATTAGATGTTACTTTTCAATTAAGCTCCATGGGGGACTACATGAGGCTGTGAGACTGCTGAGGAGAAGCTAGACCTTCCTAGTATGTGTCTCAAAATTGAGAGAGAAAATTCTTGAATAGAAAACTGCATTCTAGGGGACGGACTAAATTTAAGGCCTAATGATATGTGTTGCCTTGATATTTGTAATGCCAATGGGTCCTAAAATGGCTTAACTGGAAATTCTCCTCTATACTATGCAATTGCAGTAAGGTCCCCTAGCCAAACAACTCTCTTTTTTAAGGAGACCAGGAATGGATTCTATCTATTCCTAAGTATTGAGTTTTCATTTCCTACCAGTCTTTGGAATTAGTCAAATAAGCCTATCACATTCTCCCATGGGAACTAGAGGTCATCTTTCCTTTTTGATCTACAAATCTTGCCTTTCACATATTTTGCTTATTCACTGTTCCTGAGTGCAACCTTGGTATGGTCCTGTGTAGTATGCGGTGTCCTCCTACCCTTGGCAGTAAGTATATGAGCATATGTGATTAATAAATTGCTATTGCTCTCATCTGTACAGTAACCAGTGTTGTGTGTTTGGATATCACATAACCATAGTGTAGAAATTCCTCTCTCATCTATGAAGCAAATAGGAGAGTGCTGAAACATGTTCTTATATATTACTTTGGGATCACAGTTAATCCAGAGAGAAATCCTTAGTGCAGTGTATTAGTTTGTCCAAGCTGCCACAACAAAATGGCATAGAGTGGGTAGCTTGGACTACAAAAGTTTATTTTCCCAGAGTTCTGGAGTGTTTAAGTCTAAGATCAAGGTGCCCCTGTGGTGGTTTTCTTTAGGGGCTCTCCGCTTGCAGAAAGCTCTCCTCTTGCTGTCTCTTTACATTGTGATCCCTTTGTATGTGCACATCCTTGAGTTTTTTTCTCATGCTTCTTAAATTCTTCTATAAGGACACAAGTCAAATTTTATAAAGTCCTACCCTAATGGACTCATCTTTGCCAATCACTTCTTTAAAGACCTTACATCCAAATGCAAGCACTTTCTAAGTTACCAGCCATTAGGACTTCAACATGTGATTTTTTTTTTTGGAGAGGGCACAATTTAGTTCACAATAGGCAGAAGTGGGTGATGTCTTTGCTCTTATTTCAGTGCAGTAGAACACATGTAGAAACTAGGTGTCCTGTGAAAATTTTCTCCAGGGAGTTCCTAAAAAATGAGGGTGAGATGCACAGAAGCCACTGTGTTGATGCGTTTTACCTTGATCTGGAAGAACTACCCACCTGCATTAAACAGGCATTCTAATTAAGTTATCTTTAGTGTAACTTGGACAATTCTAAGGGAGGACTAGATTTTGGTGGGGGAAGAAATGTATGAAAATAGAGCTGGTTTAGAAGACAGGGGAGCTGATTGTCACTGAAGGAGTGGTCCTAAGCAAAATTCTAGGGGCTTGGGTACTATTCAGAGAATCCAATTAAATAATGGATACCCACATGGGGGACATCTAATTTTACTTGCTAAAGCAAATATATGGTGGATTCAGTGTTCTTGGAGAACATAGCTTTTTTTTTGCTCCTGGACATAACTTGGATTTTTAAAAATCCCAGATGGGCAGATGGTTTTGTCTGGATTAAAAAAATCATAACTGCCATTCATTAAACTCTCAATATTTGCAGTGATCATGACAGTTTAAGATTAAGTGATGAAGAGAAGAAATGGAGAAGTGTGTGTTTTCTTTTTTTTTTTTTTTGAGTTGGAGTCTCACTCTGTCACCCAGACTGGGGTGCAGTGGCCGCTTCCGACCACTGCAGCCTCGATCTGCTGGCCTCCAGCGATCCTTCCGCCTCAGCCTTCCAAGTAGCTGGAACTACAGGCATGCACTACCACACACAGCTAATTTTCTTTTTTTATTGTAGAAATGAGGTCTTGCCAAGTTGCCCAGGCAGTTCTTGAACCCGCGGGCTCAGGCAATCCTCTCACCTCAGCCTCCCAAAGCTCAGGATTATAGGCTGAGCCACCGAGTCCGGCAAGTGTGTGTTTTCTGACAGCCACCTCTTATTCCAGGTCCTCTGCCTTGTTCTTCAGCTTCCCCACCTCACATCACTCCAGGACACAAACCAATTCTCCAGAAAATTTTAGTAGAGAGACTACTCAATAATTTTTAAGAGTGTGGCATTTCCCAGGAAGCCTTTCATTAAAGAGATAGGAGCCAAACATGAAAAGGCCTTGCAGCAAAAGGCTCTTGCTGAAGGAAGGCTCTAAGAGGACTGAAATTGAGAATCCTCCATAAGATTGAGGGAAACCCCTATTCCAGAAAAGAGGGAACACCAGAGATGCTGCCCTGAAGTCCTCCTTGAGAGGCACTTTCACTAGGGATAAAAGTAGCACTCACTTCCTTCTGGGGTGGCTTAGAATGGTGAGGGACTTTGCACAAGGTGGGTGCCCTAGGCTCAAGCAAATAAGGAGTCTCAGGATATGGCAGGAGTCAAGGTAGGGATACCCAGTGAGAATGAGAAAGTCAATCACCTCAGAAGAGTGTCCCAGGTCCCCTCCCCCACGTAACCTCAACCCTGTTCTTAGGTCCTGTATATTTGCAGAGAGACATGAAGTGAAACCTAACCACAGTCAAAATGAACAAACTTTGGTGGAGAGTTCCACCAAGTCCCTGTTTGCAGCAGCATGAGGACCTAAACATGGATGCCAGGTGTATGTGAGCTCTCATTTCCTGTTTGAGGATATCAGGGAGCTTAGGACCTTGGGAGAGTTTGGCATGCTAGGCAGTAGGGAGCTTGGCCAGAGGAGGGAGTGCAGGGGACTTGGACACTGAGAAGCCCAGGAAGTCAGGGGTGTGGTTCAGGTCAGCAAAGGAAGAAAGATCATACCCTTTACAGTATCAAAAGCAGAACTCAGAGTGATTTCTGAGGAGACCACTGATTTCAGAAAGAAGCAGTGGCACAGAGCCTGTCCTGCCGTTAACTCTGGGAGGCCACCAAGCAGGGCTACATGGCTGACTTCTGCAAGGAAGTTCTCAGAGATGGGAGGATCTTGGTCTCAGGGGAAGATGCTGAATCCAGCAAAGGAAAACATCCCAGGTACACAAAGAAGTCAAGGTAAAGACCTTGTGTGAGGACCGAGGAAATTCCTGTTCTGCTTGCAACCTGGGTTTCTTGTGTGATGGTGATATGACTTACCTTAATTTCCTCCTGCATTTTGGTATGGAGAAGGTGCTGGTGGTGGTGGTGAGGGATTTTGTCCAAAGGGGATGGCTAAGGCCTGTAGTAGAAGGATCTCCATGCATTTCCAAGAACTAAGGTGAAGATCATTATGTCTGAAAGAAATGTCAACATCGAGGGCACCACAGAAACCATTCTCTATTCTTAGTCTTGGGAGACCATGAGGAGGAGATGTGGCCTCATATTCTCCTAGGGGGCCCCAGGACATGTTGACAAGAAGAGTGCAGTCCCACACTATGCCAGGGGTCAAAGGAAAGGTTGAGAAGACCACCCACCATTGAATAGATAACAAAGAATCTGAGCTCCATCTATGCATTGGAGACTTAAAAGACAAGGACAGGAGTGTCCGGTTGAGTACCCCACTCCCACTGTCAATTCTTTCTATAAAATCTAAGTTTCATGAAAAATTTGATGTGAGGTTGCAACCACCAGTCAGCAAAAGGAAAGTGTACCAGGCACTACCTGGATACCAGGTTAGTTCCCTGAATGAGAATGGAAGACCCAGGCTCTCAGTTGAGTGCCCTCTGGCAAGGATAGTGGACTTGGAAGCTCTTTCAATTTCTTCTCTGAGGTCTCAGAGAGGTGTTGGCTTTGGTTTGAGATCTCAACTTCAGAGCAGCAGAAGTAAAGGGCCCCAGGACACGCTTACAGTTGACATGGCAATCGTGATTGTGAACAGAGAAAATCCCCACATCCAAGACAGATAGCCCCCATAACCAACCCATGCCAACACCACAGTACAGCTAAGCAAAGTTGGCAGACTGCAACCTAAAACTCACTCTCTCTAACTTTCTCCTCAGGATTCTCAGGGGACAGACCAACTGGGGAAACAGGATCCCCATGGATTCATAGAGTATTGTTTTAGGTAAAGTCAAGGTGGTCTCTGGTGGTGCTCATGCTATCTCATTCTCCCTTCTCCAGGTGCCTGCATCACCAGCTGTTCTGCCCACACTTGTTCCTACTGTCCCTAACCAAAATCATCATGTCTCAGGGTCAGAAGGGTATTCTCCATGCCCGTGAGAAACATCGCCAGGATCAATATGAGACTCAGGATAACTGAGTTACCCAGGCAACAACTTTGGCAGCAGAAGTCTCCTTCTTCCTCTTCCTCTTCTCTTTGTGGAGATGTCAGGCTGAGTAACCCTCGCCACCATAAATTCTTTGTATAAAATCTAAGGATCATGAAATGTTTGGTGTGAGGTTGAAGCCACCAGTCAGCAAACTTGAAGTGTACCAGGCACTACCTGGATTCCAGAATTGTTTCCTGAATGAGAATGGAAGACCCAAGCAT